GGAAGTGGTGGTGGAAGGTAGAGAGTGAGACTCGACACAGGTGGGGAAAAACTGCAGAGTCATGAATTTGCACAAGGTGCCGCTGCAAATGTAGAGACCCCCGGCCCCAGTTCCCCCCTGAAAGCCTTGTTCTGGCACTCAGATTAGCAAAAGGACAGTCAAAGGTTTCAGGAAGTGTGGGGAACCCTGAGTACAGCCACCTTGTGGCTGGAACATGTCCTTGTCCTGATGGGCAGAGGGTCCTGATGTGTTTTAAAACAGTGTGCCCTGGCCAGTTTGGCTCAGCGGTTAAAGCGTCGGCCTGCGGTCCGGAGAGACCCGGGTTCGGTTCCCACTAAGGGCACGTACTTCGGTTGCAGTTTGTCCCCGGCCCTGGTTGGTCGTGCGGGTGGCAGCCACTCGATGTGTCCCTTCACATCGATGTTTCTCTCTCTCTCTCCTTTCCTCTCTCTCCCTCCCACTCTATCTGTACAAAAAAATGGAAAAGTGTCCTCAGGTGAGGAAAAATAAAAATAAAAATAAATAAAACAGTGTAACTGAGGCCCAGGCCATGGGGATCTGAGTCATTCAGTAGACACAGCCCCTCAGGAGGAGTGTCCTTTCCCTGAAGAGACAGGCACATCAACCTGTAGCAGGGCTGCGGGCCAGCAGGTAGGTGCTAATTCAGTGACAACACTGTCCTGTCAGAAAGAGTCTCTCTGTCCCTGACTCTCTAATGCTCTCTCTTTCTTATGTGTGTCTCTGTGGGGAACACAAAGGACCAGAGTGCACAGGATCATCCAGGGAAGGCATGTTGCTGAAGAGGAGCTGGGGATGCAAACCGCGGCAAACCTCGGAGCAAACCATGAGCTCCTCCCCATGCATTGGGTGACCTGAGCCTCTGGCCTCTGAAAGAGGTGTGAGACTTCTGTGCTAAGAAACATTCCATGATTCACTCAGAGTAAGTCAACGTCCTCACTGTGTTCCCAAGGGCCCTAGGTGGTCTGGTCCACCATTGCCTCTCTGACTTCATCTTCTACCTCTCCCGTGATCACGCTGTGCCAGCCACACCGCCCTCCACACTGTTTGTGATACGCCTTAGCCTCAGTTCCACTCCCACACTTTCCCACTCACTCTTACCTGTGTCTGGGGTGCTTTTCTCTCTGATATGTATCTCTTCAGGGTTTTAGCTCAAATGTCACTATCTTAGAAAAACTTTCCTTGACCATTCTTTCTAGAAATGCTCCCCTCCAGTTTAATTTAAAACACTTTTTTTCTTTATCGATTTTAGACACAAAGGAAGGAAGAGGTAGAAAGATAGAAAGATCTATGAGAAAGAACATCAATTGGCCGCCTCCTACATGCCCCCTATTGGGGATTTGGCCAACAACCTGAGTGTGTGCTCTGACCTGGAATCAACCTATGTCTTCTTGATGCATAGGTTGGTCGTCAACCACTGAGCAACACTGACAGAGTGTACAGTTTAATTTTTAATCACAGCAATTAACAACACCTGACAAATTGCTTACACTTTTTTTGTGTGTGCGTGTGCTATCTGATTCCAATAGAATGTAAGCTCCAGGAGAGCAAGCTTTCTTTCTCCTTCCACATGGTTCTATTCCTAACAACCATTATAGTGTCTGACATAATTGGGAGAGAATGGATGTGAAGATGGAAAATAAATGACAAGGAATGAGCATTACCAAGAAAGTTACTGACAATAGAGTCGGGTCTATGAGGGAGGCAGGGCCTATGCACATCCAATGCCTCAGTTCTCAGAGCTGCTGTGAAGTTGCTAACCTGATGCTCAACTCAGCTCAAGGCCCAACCATAAACATCCTGAAACAACAACTGCTGTACAGACACATAGGAACTTGACTTCCTTCCTGCATTTTTACCTCCCTCTTTTGCATATTGTAACTAGCCAATCCCTGCTAATCTAACAGCTGTGATTCATTTGCATGAAAGAATTACACTTTGTGGGGGTTGCCTCCATAAACCCTGCTTTTCTTTTTTTTTTTTTTATCCTCACCCGAGGACATTTTTCCTTTTTTTTTTTGTTCTGGTGGAGTGGGAGGGAGAGACAGGAACAGAGAGAGAGAGAGAAACATCGATGTGAAAGGGACACATCGAGTGGCTGCCACCCGCACGACCAACCAGGGCCGGGGACAAACTGCAACCGAGGTACGCGCCCTTAGCGGGAACCGAACCCGGGCCTCTCGGGACCGCAGGTCGACGCTCTAACCGCTGAGCCAAACTGGCCAGGGCTGCTTTTCATTGTTCTTTTTGGAGTGCAGTTTGCATTGCTACCTAGATCTGCATCTCTCAGGTGGCAACTCTTTTTGCTCAAATAAATGCTTTCTTCTCTTTATTAAGCCAGAACATCTTTGGTTAACAAATGAATGAAAGAATGAGTAAAAAATGCAAAGTTGTGAAGGGAGACAGGCCAAGGATTCTGCTAGGGAACATGTTCAGGGGTGACAAGATGGTGACAAAGCCTGTGGTCCTATCTCACTAATTCAGTGTCCTTGGGGCCTCTGGAAGATGGCCCCTTCCCTACCAAAACCAAAGATCCTGCTGTCTCTCTCACTTATTACAGACAGTGAAGGACTAAGGCCGGCCCCACTGAAGGCCTCTGACCCCAGTCAGGAGTTCTAGCCCTCCTGCCCCTGGCTGGACTTTGGATGCGACCTCCGTCCCCCAAGACCTATTCTGCATTACCCAGAGAGGCAAAAGCCAGCTCAATGCCCAGCACATAGAAAAGGCTTATACTGCCCCCTGTTATCATATTGGCCGCTGCAGGGAGGTAAATTTCAGTTCAGGAAGACTTTCTAGCGTCCAAGACTGCAGCGAACTGTGGTGTTTTCATCCCGATTCGCCCTCCCACCCTCTGGGGGGCAGCCAAGTATGGTCCATGGGCATCTGCATGGACGAACTGTTTTGGGTTCCCACCACCAAGGGGCGCGCGAGAGGGAACAGTTCTTTCCTGGGAAGTACCACTGAGAGGCTCAGAGGTAGGACAGTCCACTCCGGGACCGTCCTGGTCTGAGGCTGCGCCCCTCATCTCCACTTCTCTAGCTCCACCTCTCAGCTTCTACTTGGTCACGTCCAGCTGGGCGGGCCACTGGGTGAGCGAACGGTTCCCAGATGGGGGGGCGGGGCCAGGCGCCGTGCTGGGTGGTGATTGGCCACGACGAGATTGGCGGTTTGAGTCCTTCCTGGGCGCAGACTGGCTGCGTCCGGCTGGACCCTGGGCCTCTTCCCAACCGGCCCGGTCCCGTCGGCCATCTGCCTGGGGTGGTGCGATGCTTGCGGAGCTAGAGCTGTGGGTGAGGCTTGGTGCGTGTGCGTGTGTGATGTGGCTTCTCAGAGTGTAGACTTTTTCTCAGTTGGACTGTTCACCAACTGACCGTGGGCCTGGGCCGCCGACGCCGTCCCGGTCGGTGGCGAGGTTCGGCGCACTCGCTGGCTTGTAGCCAGAGTCCGACGCTGGACGCGCGGGTGACGGTGCTGTCTCCACGCGAGCTCCTTCCGTCTCGGTGAGCCTTTAGCCAGCCCGGTCAGGCGCGTTGGTACCGCACCGTCAGCCCTGCAGATGCTCGCAACTAAGGTCCAGGGAGAGGTCTCCGAGCAGGATTGGGGCTCTGCCTAGAAGTCCAGTGTGTCAGACCCTTTGGGGACGCGTACCGCTAGGTGTGACGTCACAGGTGCAGTTTGGGTACATGTGATCTCCGAGCTTTTGGGGAGATTGTGAGTGGATGGGATATTTTATCTGCGTGGATTTTGTGCGCCGTGGTCTCAGCGTCTCTTGGGCTTCGTGTGCCTCTATACCTGCGTGTGCATTTTAGATTTGGGGCATTTGTGTCCTGGGTGTGAGATCTCTATGTGGGTGTCTGCGTCCTGGGATATGAGGTCTCTGAGCAGTTCGTGATTCTGGGTCCCAAGCGTTGATGTCTCTGAACTGCTTGGGGGTGGGAGAAGTTTTTTCTTAAGGTATAAAGTACCTCAGCTGTTTAGGGGATCTGGGTCCAGGGTGTAGGTTCCCTGGTTTGTCTGGGGACATTATCTTAAGATTATGTGGTATTTCTGAGTCATCTGAAATGTCGTTTGTTTGTGTGGTGTCTGCATTAAGTTGGGAGGTGTCTGCGTGCTTTGGGAGCCTGTTTTTCGGAGGTGTAGTGTCGACAGTTTTGATTCCTGGCATGAGGACTTTGTTCTGTTGGGGAGAGGTTGTCTCAGTGGGGATGGCCTCTGCTCTCTCTGGGAGTCTGTGACTCAATCTGTGAGCTCTGTGTGCAGAGAATCTGTTTCAGGTTGTGTTCAGTGAGCTGTTTTGGTGTCTCTGGTTATGTGAGTCTAATGTCTCTGGTGAAATCTTTTTGGTTGTGAGGTCGCTGTCCAAAAACTGAGGATTTTGGAACCTGACAGATATGATTCCAAAGCCTGGAACCCCAAGTCCTGGTTGTGTGTCCTTGTGCAAGTCATTTGTCTCCTCGAGGCTCAGTATGTATCGTAATCAATAAAATGAGGCCAGTGCCCACACTGGACACTGCTGTACATCTTAGCAATGTGTGTGAAGAGCCTGGGTCCCAGTCAGTCTTTGCAAGAATCTTCTGAGCACCTGCATGTGCCTGAGCACTGTTCTAGGAATTGGGGATACAACGGAGAAAAATATAGACAATGTCTGATTTTGTGGAGTTGGTCAGTAAATCCATAACATGTGTGAGAGTGGCATGTCATGTGGGAAAGACAAGGCCAGGTCAGGGGGAAAGAGTTTTGTTCAGAGTGATCGGGGAAGGTCTCCCTGAAAAGGTGAAGACTGAGAAGAGACTTGGAGGAAGTGAGGGAGAGGCCGTAGATGACCTGAGAGAAGAGCATACCAGGCAGAAGGAACAGTAGGTGCAACAGTGCTGAGGGGAAGTGCATGCTGTGTGTTCCTGGGTGTCGAGGAGCCCTGTGATGCTGCTAAAGCCCTCCTGGCTGGGTTTGACACCTAGCGCTCGTGAGAGGTGTCCGCTGTTGCAATTTCTGCTTCTCCTCCGGCCTGTGAGGGAGGTGAGGTCATGCTCATGTTCCAGACTAAGGCTCCTGCTCACGTCTGAAGTTGCTAAAAGAGGGATGAAATGTTCAACTCCGTCACGAGAGGCAGAGCTTCAGGGGGACATCACCCACACCGAACACCAGCCAACAGCTGAGGTAAATGATAATACAAGAATCAGGCCCATGGTAACATTTCTAATCTTTTTTTTTTTTTTTTAATCCTCAACCGAGGACATTTTTCCATTTTTTGTTCAGATAGAGCGGGAGGGAGAGAGAGGAAGAGAGAGAGAGAGAAACATCGATGTGAAGGGACACATCGAGTGGCTGCCACCCGCACGACCAACCAGGGCCGGGGACAAACTGCAACCGAGGTACGTGCCCTTAGTGGGAACCGAACCCGGGTCTCTCTGTACCGCAGTCCGACGCTCCAACCGCTGAGCCAAACCGGCCAGAGCAACATTTCTAATCTTGATGGAGGATAGGATGTTAGGAATGAGAGAGGACCTGGGACACAGGAGAGAGGCAGGAAGGGGAAGCTGGAGAACAGTGAGAAAAAAGACACGAGGTTCATAGTGTAGCCATGAGGGGGCCCGGTTCACTTTAATTAACTGACTGTACTAAGATGTGTTCACTTTTTCCCTTCCCTGCTCTTTGTTTCACATCCTTTTCCTTCTGGGCCAGAAGCTACCATATCAGGTGCCGCACAGCAAGGAAAGCGACTTGGTGGATCAGAGCCCAGGCACAGTGAGGAGTCACCCCCACACAGGGACAGGGGCATTGGTGACAGAGCCCCAGGCAGTAAGGGGGATGTCCCTTGGGGGTGGGTGGGGGAGGCTAACTGGCTCAGGGTTGCAGTGCAGAGGGGGCTGTGGAGGTCAAGGATGGGATTCTTGAGGACAGCGTGTGAGGACAGCCTCTGTATGGGGAAGGGCTGGCTGATATACATTAGGATTCAGCAGCTCAGGACATGTATAAGGGTAACGGGAGCCATGACTTTAGAAAGGGGAGTTTCAAGTGTGGAAAGGAAACAAAGTAGAACAATCTCTGAGGTGTTACACTGGAATCGGAGGCCTACATGTGACGTCGTGGTTTTTAATATATGCACACACGTATGCATGGATACGGTGACAGATACAGATGTGTATGTTTATGTGTGTGATTGTGTACATACGTATATTCTAATAATGAAGCCTGAATGCAATGCCTGAGTTTCGTAATCATGCACTCAGATGGGAAACTTCCCCAGAAAATGAGAACCCGAATGACCTGTTGATAGGATTTGTACAATGCTTGGAAAAGTACGTGGTCACTGCATAATGCTAGAAAAAACCTTTCAAAGACTGAAATTTAAAGGCTAAAGAACATTATCCGATGGCTACTTTTACTGCCATTATTTCAATGAAGTCCAGTTTTCCAGCATCAAATTGTGGAGATGGGAATCTGGTAAATATATCAGACTATAATGGTCAAATTTTCATCAGTCACACTTTATATCTTGTGTCGTTTTCCCATCGTCTGTGTAATGGTATTGATTTCTTCTATCATTCATGTTAATTATTTATCTAACAAAAGGCTGCTGTATTAAGCCCTGGCCGATGACACTCAGTGGTTAGAGCATCAGCCCACACACCAGAGGGTCGAGGGTTTGATTCCAGTCAAGGACATGTACCTGGGTTGCAGGTTTGAGCCCCAGCCTGGTCGGGATGTGTGCGAGAGGCAACCAACCAATGTGTCTCTCTCACATTGATGTTTCTCTCTCTCTCTCTCTCTCCCTCTCTCCCTCCCTCCCTCCCTCCCTCCCTCCCTCCCTCCCTCCCTCCCTCCCTCCACCTTCCCGTTCTCTTCCACTCTCTGTAAAAATCAATGGGAAAAAATCTTCCACTGTGAATTAACAAAAAACCAAAAAGGCTGATGTATTGATATTATCAGAGCTGAATCCTGAGGAGCAGGTAAACAGAGGAGAGTCTGAGAAAGAAGCAAAGGGAAGACAGGGGATGCCAATGGGGTGGGTGAACATCGGGGGCAGGGAAAGAGGAGTTAAAGGCTAAGAGGAAGGAGGGATAACGGGCACAAGCAGAAAGCAGGAGTGAAGAGACCGAAGAAGGAAAGCTCACACTTGGAGGCTTGCTACAGGTCCAGCGCTGTTTTTAGTTTCTCTCTACATACATAATTTTAGAAGTCTGAGTACTCACAGCAAAGCTGCAGGGAGAGCATATCCATGTTCTCCCTTTTTACACGTGAGGAAGCTGAGAGAGAGTTTAAGAGCTGAAGCAGCTTACCCGAAGGCAGCCAGCCAGCAAGGGCAGAGTCAGATTTGTAGTGAGGTCAGATAGAGACCTAAAGAGATGTGGGGTCTGCCTTAAGCTCTGGAATGCATGCACCTCAGTGTCAGACGCCCTTTGCAGCAAAAGGCACGTGGAGCTGTGCAGCAGCATCGGGACACATTGGTGTGCATGGACTGAACGCGATGTCTCCTCTGTGCACGAAGTACTGGGGGTGACGAGGCAGCACACACATCATACAGACCAGTTTCTGCTCCCTAGCAAGGTCTCTACACGTATTTGCTGCTATCGAGGTCAGTACCAACGATCTCATCATCATTATCATCGTGGAAAGTAGCTTGTGGTATTAATTAAGCCAACAAAGCAACAGATACAAGATTGTAACACATCACTGTTCCCCTCCAATGTAACAATTGTCAAAATGCGTAGAAAAAAGTCTGGAAGGGAATAACTACACACTAAGTCCTTTTCTCTAAGTGCGAACCTCTAGATAATTTTCAACTAACATATCTATTTGCTGCATCAATTCATTACACAGGCAGTGTTTCTATTATGCTTTTGAAATAGTGTTTTTGAAGATCCATTGTCTTGGCATCAGGACACTTCGGGATAAGAAATTGCTTTGATATCCTTGTGAGGTGGAAAACCCATCAGAGCACTCAGAGCGGAAGAGAGGTCTGCGGTGCAGCAGAGAGGACCTGCGGGGGGGAGCTGGGGCTCCAGATTGAAGGTTAGCTAAGTCTGCGGGTGTTGTGAAAAAGCCACAGGTGGCACAGGCCCAAACCAGACAACACCTTGCCGGTCTCTGGTAGAGGCTGCTGCTCTATGGAGAGGAGTCTCTGCATTAGGACGTCTCTGGCGCTCCCTCTCTTTGGCTGGTGTGGCGCGGTGGGGCAGCGTGTGGTTTTAAGGCAGCAGTGCTTTGAGCTTCGATGAGAATGAGAATGAGGGTCGCATCCTCACCTGCAGCCCCGCTCCTTTTGTGGGTGATCGGCAGCACTTTTGAATTCTGGAAGCCTGCAGGTTCAGAAATGGGAAAAGACGAAACTGCATAGTGCAGTGGTTAGATGCCAGCCTCCCCTGATAAATCCTTACACAGGAAGGGAGATGCAGGTGTGGTAGTCATCAGCCGGGAATTGGCAGAGTTGGATTGGGTGACCCAAAGAAGAAAGGAGGAAGTGAATGTGAAGGTGACAAGATGCATAAAGAGGGAATAAACAGCTAAATGTCAGTTTTCTGGTCTTAGGAGGAGAGAGTGGTCCATTATTGTGGTGAGAGGGCGTCCTGGTCTGAGGTCTGCGAGGGCCTGAGAGCCGGCCCGCCCTTAGCGATGAGCGTTCTGGGGACCCGCCATCAGCATTAGCAAGGGGCACTGAGTGTGGGGAGGCATGAAGGCCTTTGCCTTTATCATGGACGGACGCAGAGGCTGCTAGCAACATGACCCGTACTCCAACCTCCTAGTTCAGCTCAGGCGACGGCTCGGACACTGCTGAGTGTTCTGGATCACTGTGCTGGTAACCATGTGTGTGTGCTTAAGAAACAGAGTCCTTATTTATTTAAATACGATTCCCCAAGCTCCATCTATGATCTAGGCACTGCGCTTGGTGCCGGGGGTTACAATAAAAAATTTAAAAAGGACACATTCCTGCCCTCACGGAGTTTATGTCCAATCAGGAGACAACAGTGAATTGAATCATCACACAAAGAAATATAAAAATTACTCCTATGATTGCTGGTACCAAAGAGGCACACAGAGGCTTGGGAGGAAATGACTTTTGCTAGATCTTTAGGGAAGTTCTCCTTGAAGAGGCATCGGGAGAGTAGAAATATGAAGGATGCACAGGAGTTCACTAATCAGGAGTCTTCCGGAAGGGGACAGTGTAAGTGGAGAAGTTTGGGAAACTGGAGGACGTGAAAGAAGCCAATAGGAGACACAAGACGAGGAAGCTCTGCTTTCCATATTGCTGGAGAGTAGGCAGGGGCTGGACCAGGCCTTCCTGCAACTGGGAGAGGAAGCGAGAGGGGCAGAAAGGAGGGAAAGAGAGAGGGAGTCAGACACCCTGAGTGGATGTGAGAGACCAGTGAGAAAGCAGGTTTGATTATCAAAATGACAGTCTTTTGATGAAAACAGATGTAGGGGACATGGGGAGAAGTGTCAGCATTAGACAGATATTGGGGAAGTAAAATGGACAGAACCCAGCAAGGATTTGACTTCAGGTGAAGGAGAGGGAGGTGTAAGTGGATAAGACCGCGTTTCCGAGTGCGGTGATGCCATCCACTGACATGGGGAATACCGGAAGAGGGCCAGATCTGTGAAGGATTCCAAAATGAGACTTATTTTTCTGCACTCATACAATAACCAGTATTTCAGTACTTTCCTTAATAGTTCCTTTTCCTTTTGTAAAAAAGTGAGAAGTATTGAGATATAAATTACATTTAAAGTATACAGTTTGTAGAGTTTTTGTTGTTCTTGTTAATCCTCACCAGAGGATATTTTTCCTTTGATTTTTAGAGAGAATGGAAGGGAGAGAGGGAGGGAGAGAGAGAATCATTGATGTGACAAAGACACATCAATTGGTTACCTCCCACATCAGGGTGAGGGGTTGAACCTGCAGCAAAGGACTTGCCCAAGACCGGAAATCAAACCCTAGACCGATCATCCACAGGGGATGCTCTAACTGCTGTACCAATCCACCCAGAGCCAGTTCATAGAGTTTTGACTACTGTATACAGTTGTTAACCACCACCACACAAAAGTACAGAAAATGTCTGTCATTTGAAAACACTGCCTTGCGGATTTGCCATCACACTCCTTCCCTTACTCCCACACCCTGGCAACCACTGGTGCTGGCCTGTGCCTACAGCTGTGCCTTCTCCAGAATACCAGTGACATGAAGTCACGGAACCTGCAGCCTTATGTGTTTGCCTTCTTTAAGTTAGCACACTTGATACGCATCCATGCTGTGCATGTACCAGTAGTTCCTTTTTATTACTGTGTCATAATCCTTTGTGTGGGCGTGGTTTTTCTTTCATCCATATACAGTTGTTGAAAATATCTGGGTTGTTTCTAGGTTCAGCCATTATGAGTAAAAGTGCTATGAGTGTTTGAGTACAGGTCTTTGTGTGGACATTATGTTTCGTTTCCGTCGGTAAGAATTCTCTAGGAGTAGAATTGCCACATCATATGATAAATGTATGTTTAATATTAAAAGTAAGTGCCTGATATTAGGATACCCACTCCAGTTCTTGTGGTTGCTGGTTTGATGATTCATCTCTTCCCCTACTTTCACTGTCAATCTGTTTGTATCTCTGAATGTCAACTGTGTCTCCTATAGAGGACATAAAACAAATTGCATCTTGTTTTTTCAATCCAGTCTATCAGTGTCTGCCTTTTGATTGGATTGTTTAATCTGTTCACATTTAATGTTTTTATAAACATAGATGGACTTACATCTGTCATTGCACTTTTATTTCTGTGTTTCATGTCTTTCTGTTGTTTGGTTCCTCTACTGTTTTCCTTTGCATTCAATGGAGGTATTCTAATGAGAGAGAGAGATGTGAGAGAGATGCACTGATTGGTTGCCTCCAGCATGGGCCCTGACCAGGGCCGGGAATCAAACATGCAACCCAGGTATGTGCCCTTGACCGGTAATCGAACCCGCGACCCTTCCGAGTGCAGGCCGATGAAGCTTTAACCACTGAGCCACATGAACCAGGGCTCTAATGCAGCATTTTAATTTCTTAAGTGATTTTCTCACTATATTCTTTTCGATACAGAGGTCCCCCTTATCCATGAGGGATACATTTCGAGACCCCCACTGGATGCCCAAAACTACGGATGCCACCGAACCCTATGTATACTGTGTTTTTTTCCAATATAGACAAATACTTCATGGTTTCTCTTCGACATATCCAGATTGCCAGAATCACATTTTGTGCTTTTGGGCCATTAAGTAAAATTAACGGTTACTGGAACACGAGCACTGCAATACCTCAGCAGTCGATCTGATAACTGAGGCGGTTACTAAGTGACTAACAGACAGATGGCAGTGAATGCAGTGGGGACACTCTGGGCAAAGCGAAGTTTCACCTTGGAGTGGGGATGACACGGAGTTGGATGGTGAGAGATTGCATCACACTATTCAGAATAACGTGCAATTTAAAACTCATGCAGTATTTGTTCTGGTGTTTACTCTCTAGGATATTTTCCCAAAGGTTTTTAACTACCAATTCGATTTTTATAAAAGATGTTGGACTGTGCACATTATTTCACTTGGGTGAGTTTTTGTAATTTATGGTTTTTGAGTAATTGATTCACTTCTTCTAAGTTGTTGCATTTATGTATGTAGAGTTTAATGTAGTGTTATAACATTGCCCTTTTGTATTTGCTGCGTCTATGGGAAAGTCACCCCTTTCATTCCTGCTGTTGGTAACCTCCCTCCTTCTCTCTCTCTTTCTCTCTCTCTCTCTCTCTCATCTGCTAGAGGTTTGTTATCAATCCTTTCAGAGAACCAGTTTTTATTTCACTGTGTTTCTATATTTTTTCCTGTTAGAAATTCCAATGATTTCTATTCTTATTTTTACTAAAATAAATTTGTATGTATACTTTCAGGAATTTTGGTTTCCATAGACTTGAGCTACCTTTTGACTATATGAACAGCCAGTGTGGATGAAGGAGAAAATTTAAAAGGGTGTGTCAGCATGGTGCAAATGCTGAAACTGAGTAAAAGTCTACTTTTGGAATGTATGGGAATGCTAACGAGAAGGGCACATGTTAGTCACACGTTGATAATTGTTGAGATTGTGCTTGAGGAGAGTTTGTAAAAAGGCAGGAGGGCATTTACATGGTTGACTGTGGCCCGTCATGTTCTATTCCTTGTCACATGTATGCAATAATGGATCTCTTTTCTAAAAGCCTGTATGTGTGCCATCAGTATTTGGAGCTCGTGAGATGTATTATCCCATTTAACAGGTACAACAGTCCTAGGAGGTAGGGCTCTTTACTATCCCCGTTTTGCAGCTTGGGAAAAGAGGGACAGAAAAGTTCAGATGGCTAATACTGGATTTTCTTTCTTCTTTTCTCACCACTTATTGCAGTCTGGGTTCTCCGCACATGTCCCTTGCCACCTTCTGGCTCTTTGAGAACCTCATCTTCACCTCCGTGTCCAGACCCCTGGGCTGCCTGGAGCTTTGAGGCCTCCATGGATCCACTCCAGAAACACAGCTCAACGTTGATTTCTGCATCTTCCCCGATGATCTCTGGAGAAGAGACATCTCGCGAAGTCACAGCAGCCTCTCATCCTTCCTTCTCAAAACAGCTAATGATGAGCCTCAGTGTCTGGAACCCGAGTCCTGGCTCCACCTACCCTGCCTCTCTAGCAGAGAGACTGCTCCAGCAGCGGTACAGAGATGAGAAAACCTGGTGAGAGAGGCAGTGGGAAAGGTCAGTGTCCCCTGAGAGGGAGACATCATTTCTCAGACATGTGAGACGGAGACACCTCCATCATGTAGATCATGTAGCACCTTATCGGGTTCAGAGGGAAGCCAGAATCTCTTCCTTGGGTGATAAAGATCAGAATCAATTTAGGTGTGAATGTCGATACTGCCAGGGGCATAGCCGAGGGTTTGTGGGATGCCTGTGCAGATAATGGGGCCCCAATCCTTCCTGCGGGAAAGCCTCATACACAGCCTCAGTGGCTTGACCCTCAGCCTGGCTACCAATCGCCTGGCCTTCTGCAAGAAGGGCTGCTGTCCCAGCAGCAGAGAGAGGAGAAGCTCCAACTGGAGAGGAGGCAGGAAAGCAAAAGAATGTTGCAGAGGCTCCTAAAACAGTGGCTAAAAGAAAACAGCCCTGGCCGGTTTGGCTCAGCAGTTAGAGTGTCGGCCCTTGGACCAGAGAGTCCTGAGTTCGGTATCCGCTTAGGGTGGGTACCTCGTTTGTGGTTTGTGCCCAGCCCCCGCTGGGGTCGTGTGGGTGGCAGCCACTCGATGTGTCTCTCACACATTGATGTTTCTCTCTCTTCTTCCCTTTCTCCCTCCCACTCTATCTGAAGATACATGGAAAAAGAAAAAGAAAACACAATCTCATCCCACGTGACAGAGCTCTGGATGGATTCACACAGACGCTGGTGCTGAAGGGCCTGGGTGTGGATTCTTTTCGGGGATCAAACAGTAAGCAATAGTGGGAGGAATAACTCAACCAGTTGACTGACAGTCCTATCAGCATGAGTGTTGATCCGATCCCAGGAAGGTCCTAACCTTCCCCGCCGGGAAATGGACCGCTCTGGGGCCTTCTAAGGCCAGGGAGACCGCGCACAGGTGGTCCTCAACCCCTATATTGGCTCCCGTGACACATGTTGTCACTTCCACACCCTGGATCTCTGTCTTTCCTCCGAATGGAAGAGAGATCCGTTTTTCAGGGAGAATTGGTAAAAGAGTCTGCGCCCCCTGTAGAGGGTCCTGCCGGATGGTGCTGGTGCCCCTGGCTTAGGACTCCAGGGGCCATGCCTTGTTGCCTGGTATCCCCGGGTAGGTGATAGTAAACATCAGTCTTGTGCCTGGGACATGAGAACTGGAACATCATTGAGTTATTAAGAGTCAGGATTTGTCATAATGCCTTTTCGTTTCAAGAGGCATGAATGATTAAATCTACCCCTCCCCATACGCACACACAGAAACTGATGATGTGGACCCAGAAAGAGACCTTGCAGTTCATCTGAAGTGAAAATAAATTCCGCATTCTGTCCGTGTGTTTTTAGGTTGCCCCGGAGCTGTGCAGCCGCAAACATATAGGAGTCTTCTGCAGACAGAGGGGCTTGAGAACAGGTACATTTACTAGACTCTGAACTTGTGATCTCATCAGAGAGCGTGGAAGCCCCATGGACCCTGCCAGGCTCGTCTCGCAGCCACAGGGAAGGAGGTCAGTAAAGCAGGGCTTGTCTTTCTTTAAATTTTTTTTTTTTTATCCTCACCTGAGGACATTTTTCCAATTTTTGTACAGATAGAGTGGGAGGGAGAGAGAGAGAGAGAAACGTCGACATGAAAGGGACACATCGAGTGGCTGCCACCCGCACGACCAACCAGGGCCGGGGACAAACTGCAACCGAAGTACGCGCCCTTAGCAGGAAGGAACCGAACCCGGGTCTCTCCGGACCGCAGGCCGACGCTCTAACCGCTGAGCAAAACCGCCCAGGGCTAAATTTTTTTTTCTTTATTGATTTTAGAGAGAGAGGAAGGAAGAGGGAAAGAGAGATAAAAACATCGATGAGAGAGAACATTGATTGGCTGCTTTCTGCATGCCTGCCACTGGGGACTTGGCCCACAACCTGGGCATGTGCCCTGTCAGGGAATCGAACCGGCGACCTCTATGTGCATGGGTCGATGCTCAGCCACTGAGCCACACCAGCCAGGCAGGGATTGTCTTTCTTGAAACACAAAGGCTTGACTTCAGCCTGGTCGTTTGGGGTGTGTTGTGAGCAGCGCTAACGTGGCATTTCACCTTCATTGATTCTTTACTGTGTGTCAGACAATATGCTACATGCTTCCCTGTGTCAACTTCTTTCATCCTTTCCCACAGACCCATCATTGAGCAAGATTTCCATCCCGGTTTATGAGGTGGTGGGACAGCAGACTACAGAGCAGGCAGGGCCTGGGCGCAGCTGGCAGAGGTGAGAAAGTGCTGGCCTCACTCCAGCAGCCACACCAGGTCAGTCCCATCAACCACAACGGGTTACCACCTGTGAGGGTGTCAGTTGTCTCCCCTTGTCCCCCCTGTGTGCTAGGCTGGCTGTTGGTGTGGGGAAGAGCAGGAATCTCAAAGCAGGTTTCGGCCCTGGGGAATTGAGCCTTTCATCAGGGAGAGAGATCTGACACCCAGAGATGTGGTAGAGAGTGTGTCGTGGGTCCCCGGAGAGGCTTGGTGGCCAGGAGAAGAGAGGGGTGAGACGGGCCAGGGTTGAGTGATGTGGCATGGGAGCTTGCTGAGGGCCGTGCTCACTGCTCACTTTCTACATGAGGGCACTCGCAGAAAGGGTGAGGGGTCACCCAGGCGTCCGCCGCTGTCCCCCTCCCCACCTAAAGGCTTTGTCCTCATACCCAAGTATGGGGTGTAGGAGGAGCTCTGGGGCCACATCTGACACTGCATCCTGTCCCAAGTTACAGACTAGGAGCCAGAATCCAGTGATGTTCAGACATGTCCAGCGTGTCCAGTTCTAGACCAGAGACTGAGCGGGAGGCACCAGGAGGCCAGAAAGTACTGGGAGAGAGTGGGAGTAAATGTAACACATGAGTCAGTTTATAGGAAATGCCTCGAAAAGGTAAATCTACAGAGACAGAAATTAGATGAGAGGTTGCCTGGGCCCGGAGGTGGTAATGGGGATTGACTGCTAACGGAGCACGGGATCCCTCTGTGGTGATAGAAATGCTCTAAAACTGCACTGTGGCGACAGTGGCACAACTCTTCCAATGTACTCAAAGTCACTGCGTCAGACTCTAACTATAAATTATCTCTCAATAAAGCTATTTAGAAAATGCAACGCAAATGTCCTAGTCAGTGTGGAGGGCAAGTTGTGCCATTGCCTTTATCACAGCAAGGACTCCCCTGCCTCTTCAATGTTCTGGGCCCTGCCTGCGTGACCCATCATTGCTGCCTCCTGCTCCTGTCCTGGACGCTCCCCCCACAGGGAGTCACTGCAGTAAGGCCAGGAGTGCTGCTGAGCGCGCAGCTCTGCGCCTGTCTGTGTGTTTGTGCGCACGCGCCCTTCGGGTGGACGTATGTAATGGTTGACTCACAATTCCACAGCTGAGCGCAGGCTCCCATGATCCATCTGGCGCCTGAAATTCCACTTGGGTGTTTTCTATTCTTAACGAGGCCCACAGACCCAGGTTCTGTTTCCCTGGTAACCAACCTAGGCCCTTATCTTCAACCTCTGATCACAGGAAGACACACGGAGAGGGGAGGGGTGTTGTACCCTTCCTAGAGCCAGGCCCCAGCTCAGGGACCCAGTGGGGATGCTCAGCAGAGCGGTAACCATGACGACAGAACCCCAGCTGCCCTTCCACCAGCCAGGCCCTTCTCCCTCCACTCTGCCTGCCTGGTGTCAGGCAAGCAGGGGACGTTATGGCATAAACACACTCCTCAGTCTTTGAAATTATTCTAAATATGAGTGTAATATTAAGTAAGAATCCCATAAACAGCTCTCAGAAGACACATCACAGAATTTTAGAAATTTCTCAGTAATAGCAAACATGGCTGTCACGTCCAAGATTCTGCTGGGAACCGGTACAGGTGAGGCACGGCTGCCCTTGTACCGCAGCTGTGCTTTCGTGGCCCCTGGAGCGTCCTCAGAACAGGTGCTGGCGCCATGCCCGGAGGCTGCGTTAGTAGGTCCGCAGTGTGGGCGCAGCAGGAGCACGATTGAACACCTCTCCTGTGGAAGCCTAGCTTGAGCTCTGGAAACAGAACCGCCCTACGGGAGGACACCTAGCATTGGAAATGTGAGACTTCTTTACAAAGACAGCAGGTTCTCATCATTACCTGCTGTGCTGCGCACAGCACTTAAGATTAGGGAAGGAAAACACGTCAAACTAAGTGTGTGATTCAAACCCAGCACTGTACCTGCTGTCTCCATGTTCCTGAAACCAAAATTGTACAGTTAAAACCCTGCATTTGCTAATGAGACATACTACTTTTTATTTCTTGTCGAGATCCCTTGTGTTTTGTGGCTTTAAAAGTGTGTAAAACATTGTGTGGAGGACTTCGTGAGACAGATCGCAGTAGTTCTGTGCGAATTGCAGATGGCTGAGCTTTGTACCGGTTCATGTAGAAGGATTGGCTTCCAGGTTTTCATTTTTTTTATAATTTATGTTTTCAAGTGAATTCATGTGCTCAGGGAAAGACCAGACAGGTCAGGGTATTTAATTTGAAGCTCAGGACTGAGCAAATTCTTGTTTCATGCACACCCATGGACACTCCCCTTAGGAAAGGTTCTCCTTTAGCCATGATGGGCTGATTCTGCTGTGTCCTGATTCCTTGGCTTTAGACATTATCTGTTGAGATCCTGTTGAAGATGAACATTTCACTGTGGCAGGAATATTACAAGGTACAGGTTCTCCTCAGAATTCCTGTGGGGGCTGGGGGCAGCCAAACCAGGACATAGGCCCCTGCCCAGGACGCCTTCAGTGCCCCTGGCAAGAAGGAATCCTCACAGGGGACTTTAGGAACATCTGTGGCAACACAAAGGTCATGGTTTAGCTTTTCCAGAGCAGGTCCAGGGCAGTTATGTGGCAATGGAGATGGCACCTAGTGGCGTTCCTAAGATTTTGGTTTAAGGACATGGGTGGTTGGCAGTACCTGCCCTTCAGACAGGGAACATAGGTTTGGGGTCACCTGTAGATTTGCAGGGCTTTTGGGACATGTGAGGGAGATGCCCATTGGTGTCGGCCTGTAGGGATTCTGGGGCCCAGCTCAGATTGGTTAGGTAGACATAGTGATACAACAAGCCATCAGCATACAAGGGGATACACGTGAAGACGTGTCAGAAGGGTATTAGAAGCAGAGGCCGTGCACTTTCATGGTATGTTATTTCAGAGTGTGTCCCCCCCTAACAAGAGGGAACACCACAGGATCAGGTACCAGAAATCCCTGGGATCCTGAGGATGCTGAATGGATACAGCATCATGGAGACTTACGATGAGCCTCATGGATGATGCTTTAAGTTGAGGAGGGAAGATCCGGGATTCTAAGCAACACTGGGTCTGAAGAAAGACCCCATCCTCACTCCTGCCCCCATTCTTACCCTTGTGACCCACAGAGGTATGGGTGGGGAGACTACATCTTCTAAGTAAAAAGCCTCAATCAGTCGTATCGGGGTAGAACAAGATTGAGTGAACTCAGAAAAGGAGAAAGGATTGGGCAATTTGTCCAAGTGGCATAAGAGGGAAATGAGTTACCCTGGAGGACCACACTGCAGTCCTGTGCTAAGGGCACTGGATGCAAGGGGCTTGGGATTGGGGTGATGGCAGCAGCTGGAGACGTGGGGATTTGAATGGTCCCAAGATTCAGATACGGTGTCTTCTGCAAAGACATGTCTTGTTTCAGAACCACAGAGGCCCAGGAAACGATGAGAAGATAGAAAAAGTTTGTCTTCTCTGTGTCCTGGACTTGGATAGATTTAAAGCATCTGAAAATCTAAGCCCTGTTGAAGAGAGTGGCCTCGATCACTCATATCTGGTGACGATGAGGCTGTGCTCTGAGGTCCCTCAGATGACGAACAGAGAGGCCAGAACATAGAGCAATAAAAAAAGAACTCTTGTGATTCTGGCCCCTGCACAGGTGGGGTATCCATCTAGCCCTCTGATTACAACAAAAGGGATGCACGGCCAAGGGCCCAGGTGAGTTGTGAGAATTACAAGGGAGCCACAGACCTCAGGCCAGCAAGAAATAGTTGGGGGCATATGCTCTCGGGTGAAGGAGCAGGGTCCATCCACAGGACATTTCTGCCATTGCCACCTGGCCACAGCCAGGCACTGTAAGAACGCAAAGTCTGTGGAAAGGAATCCCTGTCTGTCTAAAGCTCCTTAACCCCTGCTCTGGAGGTAGAAAAAGTAGGACCAGACCTGAGACAGCAACAGATGAGGAAAGGGGATGATGTGGGACATGACTGTGGAAATAGAACCAAGCCCTTCGTACAATTTGACCCCTTTAGGTCAGCAGGGTGAGACAACAGGACCCTGGTGGCTTCTTTAGGACTAGTCCCTGATTTCTTCTTGAGAAATTCTAGGACCTCAGAAGACTTCAGTCTCCTTAAGACGAAGGGGGTAGAGGGTACGACTTTCTGAGTAAAAGAACCATACAAGGCAATGGGGATGTAGATGTTTCTAAGTCACATAGTTCATGTAAAGCAGGCCTGTGACACCTGACCCTGATTCTGACATGTACTTGTGGTTTTGCATTATTCTGTGGGCTCTCCCCTGGGGACAACACACTCAAGGGACCAGGGGCACCACACTTGCCCAGAAGAGGAGACCTAGACCTGCCCGTCACGAGGAGGGTTTGATCGCTGCTCCCCCTGGACAAAGGGCAGTGCCTGTGCTCAGGGCCCCGGTGTGTGGGAGACAAGGGCAGGTCCCCCTTGAGGAATAGATTCTCTGAGGACACAGTGGTCTGGGTAAGAGATCTTGGGAGACACTCCTGGTGTGTCGGCCACAACTGGGATTCTCACCCCGGCTTTTCAACTCTAGGGAGGAGGACATGGTCATGATTTACCTTTAAAAGAAATAAGAAGGAAAACACCACCTTCTCTTTTTAAAAATATTGACATTTTGTATCTTCCTCCAGGCTTCCTTTTCTGGCTCTGGTAACCTTTTCCTGAAGCCCAGCTCCAGGACTCAGGGTTTGAAGAGAAGGTCTGTGTCCTTAAAAGAGGAGCCTGGCATCGCCTGTGGAGGCAAGGACGGCCCTGAGGGACCCTGCTCACCTCAGCGACAACCCTCATCAGCTCCTGCACCCCGTGAGTCTGGCTGCGCCTCTCCTCTTTCTGTGATGTTGTGGGGGTCTGCTGATGGCATGCTAGACGTTGTCCTGGGTTACAGAGAGGGGGAGGCCAGGACCCCAAGGCCTCCTCTCCCAGGGACAGATGGGAAGGTGGGCACAGGAGGACCTGTGGGGATGGTGTGCTGACATCCCAGGTTCACTGCTGCTCCCCAGGCTGCAGCGCACTTTGGTTTCTTCATTCTGCCTGATGGCGCTGATCTTCCTGGGCAGTGCCCGCCCTCTGAGCTGGAATGAAGGGGAGGAAAGGAACTCTGAGTTTGCTTCTGATCTGCTAAGTGTGCTGAGATGCAAACGTGAATGTTCCATGTATACAAATGCTCAGTGACTCTTAGTGATAATGCTCAGTCTCAGATTTCTTCCCCACATCTCCACTTCCTTCCAGATTGGGGAAGGGATATGTGTAGCTTTAGAGTCTGTGATGACAGGTGAAGGGGACTGTGACACCGCTATGCTCACACTGCCCTAGGTGGTCTCTGTGAAAGGATAACTCTTTTTAAATTTATTTTTCAGTTACACTTTATATTCATTACTATGAATTAGCTTCAGGCATACAGCATAGCGGTTACACAAACATATACTTTACAAAGTTTTTCCCCTGATATTTTCAGCCTCTACCTGGCACCATACATACTTACTACATTACTGACTATGTCTCCTGTGCTGTACTGACCTCCCTGTGACTGTTGTAACTGCCACTTTGTACTACTCAGTCCTTTCTCCTTTCTCACCCAGTCCCCCCTCCCTCTCTTCAGGTGACCTTCAGTGTGTTATCTGTGTCTGTGAGTCTGTTTCTATTTTCTATGTTCATTTATTTTGTTTTGTTCTTTAGAGTCCACAAATATGTGAAATCATACGGTATTCGTCTTTCTATGACTGACCTATTTCACTGCATAACACCCTCTAGGTCCATCCATGCTGTTGCTAAAATGGTAACATTTAATTTTTTGTTTTATCCTCACCTGAAGACATTTTTCCATCTTTGTTCAGATAGAGTGGGAGGGAGGGAGGGGGAGAAAGAGAAACACTGACATGAAAGGGACACACCGAGTAGCTGCCTTTCGCACGACCCCAATCAGGGTTGAGGATGAATCGCAACTGAGATACGTGCCCCTGACCGGAATCAAACCCACGACTCATTGGTCCATGGGCCGACGCTTTCACCACTGAGCCAAACTGGCCAGGGCTAACATTTCATTCTTTTTGTAGCCGAGTAATATTCCATTGTATATACGCGCCACTGCTTATTTATCCACTCGTCTATTGATGGGCACATGGGTTTCTTCCATATCGTGGCTATTGTAAATGACCCTGCAATGAACAGGGGTGCTCATATTCCTTCGAATTAGTGTTTTGAGTTAATTGAGATATATACACAGAAGTGGAAACGCTGGGTCATAAGCAGTTCCATTAAAAAAATTTTTGAACAACCTCCATACTCTTTTACATAGTGGCTGCACCGTTCTGCTTTCCCACCAACAGTCAGGAGGGTTCCTTTTTCTTCTCATTCTCGCCAACACTTGTAGATTACTGTTGAAGCCATTTTGTCACGAGAACTATCATTGTGGTTTTAGTTTTCATTTCTCTGATCATTGCATTGAGCATCTTTTCATATGTCTATTAACCATCGGTATGTCCTCTTTAAAGAAGAGTCCATGCAGGTCCTCTCCCCATTTTTTAATTGGATTGTTCGTTCTTTTGGTGTTGAGTTTATAAAACTTTTGATATTAACCCCTTATCAGATACCTCTTTGGCGAATATCTTCATCCATTCTCTAGGTAATCTTTCCATTTTGTGATGGTTTCCTTTGCTGTGCAAAATCTTTTTAGTTTGATGTAAATTTGTTTATTTTTTCTTTTGTTTCCTTTTCCCCAATATATATATCAGAAAAAAATACTTCTAAGAGAAATGTCAGAGAGTTTACTCCCTGTTTTCTTCTGGAAGTTTTATGGCTTGAAGTCCTCCATTGAAGTCTTTAATCCATTTTGAGTTTAATGTATATGATGTAGGAAGGCGGTCTACTTTCATTTTTTTCTGCATGTATCTGTGCCATTTCCCCAACACCATCTATTGAATAGACTGTATCCATTGTATTTTCTAGCCTCCTTTGTCAATTATTAATTGACAATATAAGTGTGTGTTTATTTCTGAGCTCTCTATTCTGTTCCATTGATTCTATATCTGTTTTTATGCCAGTACCACGCTGTTTTGATTACTTTGGCCATGTAGTATGGTGTGATATCAGGTAGCATGACACCTCCAACTTTGTTCTTCTTTCTCAATACTGCTGTCGCTATTCGGGGTCTCTTGCTGATCCATATAAATTTTTGGATTGTTTGTTCTCATTCTGTGAAATATGCCATTGGTATTTTGATAGGAATTGGTTGATTCTATAAATTGCTTTGAATAGTGTATACATTTTAATGATGTTTATTCTTCCTATTCATGAGCACAGTATATTTAAACTTCAATTTATTTGTATCTTCTTCAGTTTCTTTCTTCAGCATCTTTTAATTTTCACAGTGCAAATCTTTTACCTCTTTGGATAAATTTGATCCTGTGTGTTTTATTTATTTATTTATTTATTTATTTATTTATTTATTTATTCATTTTTGATGCAATTGTAAACAGGATTGTTTCCTTTTCTTTTTTTTTTAATGTAGCTTTTTATTTTTTATTTTTTAAATCTTTACTGTTGAATGTAGACTGTATTACAGATGTTCCTCATTTTTCCCCCATTGACCCCCCTCCTCTCCATTCCCACCCCACTTCTGCCTTTTCCCACGCTGTTATCTGTGTCCATTGGTTATGCATATAAGTTATTTGGTTTATTTCTTCCCACCCCCCAACCCCCTTCCCTTTGAGGTTTGTCAGTCTAGCAACCAGTTTGTTCTTCTTAATCCCTTCACCTTTTTCACCCATTCCCCCAACCCCCCTCCCATCTGGCAACCAACAAAATGTTCTCTGTATCTATGAGAATGTTTCTGTTCTACCTGTTCATTTTGTGTGTAGATTCCATTGTTGATAGATATGTATTCATTGCCATTTTGTTTGTTCATATATTTTATCTTTTTCTTCATAAAGACCCTTCATCATTTCATATAATAACGGTTTGGTGGTGATGAACTCCTTTAACTTTTTCTTGTCTGGGAAAGTCTTTATATGGCCATCGATTCTAAATGACAGCTTTGCAGGATAGAGTGATCTTGGTTGTAGGTTCTTGGTTTTCATCACTGTGAATATTTCTTGCCACTCCCTTCTGGCCTGCAAAGTTTCTTTTGAGAAATCAGCTGGCTGCCTTATGGGAACTCCCTTGTAGGTAACTAGCTGCCTTTCTCTTGCTGCTTTTAAGATTCTCTCTTTGTCTTGAACCTTTTGCATTTTGATGATGATGTGTCTTGGTGTGGGCCTCTTGGGGTTCATCTTGTTTGGGACTCTCTGTGCTTCCTGGACTTGTATGTCTCTTTGCTTCACCAAGTTAGGAAAGTTTTCTGCCATTATTGTTTCAAACAGGTTTTCGATTTTTTGTTCTCTCTCTTCTCCTTCTGGCACCCCCAAGATGCGAATGTTGGCACGCTTGAAGTTGTCCCAGAGGCTCCTTACACTATCCTCATTTTTTTGGATTCCTTTTTCTTTTTGCTGTTCTAATTGGGCGTTTTTTGCTTCCTTATATTCCAAATCAATGGTTTGCTTCTTGGATTTACGTACTGTACTATTGAATCTTTGTAAATTATTCTTTTTTTTTTTTTTTTCCTCACCCGAGGACATCATTTTTTCTATTTTTTGTTCAGATAGAGTGTAGGAGGGAGAGAGAGAGAGAGAGAAACATCGACGCGAAAGGGACACGTCGAGTGGTCGCCACCCACATGACCCAACCAGGGCCGGGGACAAACCGCAACGGAGGCACATGCCCTTAGCGGGAACCGAACCCAGGTCTCTCAGGACCGCAGGCCGACGCTCTAACCACTGAGCCAAACCGGCCAGGGCTGTAATTATTCTTTATTTCAGTTAAAGCCTCCTTCGTTTCGAATTGTGCATCGAACATTTCTGACATGTCCTTTTTTATGCTCTTGAGGCCCTCACTGAGTTCATTGAGCATCCTTATAAGCAGTATTTTGAACTTAGCATCTGTTAGGTTGCTTATCTCCATTTCGCTTAGTTCTTTTCTTGGGGTTTTGTTCTGTTCTTTCATTTGGGACCTGTTTCTTTGCCTCCTCATTTTGGCTGCCTCCCTGTGTTTGTTTCTGTGTATTACTTAACGAGAGGTATGGGGCTAGCTGAGACCAGATGCTGCTTGTTTGAAAGAATTTAGGAAAAACCTGAAGCAGGATCCAAGACAGGCCAATCCTATGGTTAAGCAAGTGGCAACAGGTTGGGTGGGCCTGAAAGTTGGGTGGGGCGGGGCGGGGCGGGGCCTCAGGGAGTCAGCAGGGCGGGGCTACCAGTGTGAGCCAGGTCGCTAGAGTCCCAGATATGGCTTCTGTCTGCCGCCCCAGGGAAGGGCTCACCAAAGGAACAAAGGCCTCCAACAGCACGTTTGTCCCGAAGAAAGCCCCCTCTCCAGCCCTCGCTCCAGTGCCAAACAGCTCAGTTCTTCCCTGTGTGTCTCTGGTGCCCCTGGAGCTGCCTCCCCTCCGAGCTTAGAGGGAGAGAGTCCGACAAGTCCGTGCGCGGGCCCTTTAAAGAGCTGCCTGGGGCTCCAGCCGCCTCAGCCTCCCTGAGCCTCAGTTCCCGCTGGTTTCTCCAGCCAGAAGTTATCAGGATTCTCTTCCTGGCACTGGCACCCTGAGCGGGGCACCTGGTGTGGGACGGGGACCCCTCAGTCCTCAGGAAGGACCTTCCCAGCCGAGGTGTCCTGGTTTTTATCCGCCACACGTGGGTGTGGGGCCAGCCCGTCTCACCACCTTCTTGCCGCGGCCCCTCCCGCCTCCGCCCCTCCCACCAATCTCAATGCAGCTT